TTCATGCTCAAGGATAAGAAGAATCAATACTATGAAAATGGCCATATTGCTCAAAGTAATTTATAGATTTAATGTTATCCCTATCAAGCTACCATTGACTTTCTCCACGGAATTAGAAAAAACTACTTTAAATTTCATATGGAACCAAAAAAGAGCCCATATAGCCAACACAATCTTAAGCAAAAAGAACAAAGCTAAAGGCATCACACTACCTCACTTAAATGTATAATACAAGACTACAGTAACCAAAGAGCATAGTACTGGTACCAAAACAGACATATAGACCAATGGAACAAAACAGAGGCCTCAGAAATAATACTGCACATCTACAACCATCTGATCTTTGACAAATCTGACAAAAACAAACAATGGCGGAAAGATTCCCTATTTAATAGATGGTATTGGGAAAACTGGTTAGCCATAGGCGGAAAACTGAAACTGGACCCCTTCCTCACACCTTATAAAAATATTGACTCAAGATGGATTAAAGACTTAAACATAAGACCTAAAACCATAAAAACCCTAAAAGAAAACCTAGGCAATAGCATTCAGGACATAAGCATGGGTAAATACTTAATGACTAAAACATCAAAAGCAATTGCAACAAAAGCCAGACTAAAGAGCTTCTGCACAGCAAAAGAAACTATCATCAGAGTGAACAGGCAACCTACAGAATGGCAGAAAATTTTTGCAATCTATCCATCTGACAAAGGGCTAATATTCAAAATCTACAAAGAACTTACACAAATTTACAAGTAAAAAGCAAACAACTGCATCAAAAAGTGGGTGAAGCATATGAACAGACATGTCTCAAAAGAAGACATTTATGCAGCCAACAAACATGAAAAAAAGCTCATCATCGCTGGTCATTAGAGAAATGCAAATAAAAACCACGAGATATCATCTTATACCAATTAGAATAGTGATCATTAAAGAGTCAGAAACCAGCAGATGCTGGAGAGGATGTGGAGAAATAGGAATGCTTCTACACTGTTGGTGAAAATATGAATTAGTTCAACCATTGTGGAAGACAATTCCTCAAGGATCTAGAACCAGAAATAGCATTTGACCCAGCAATCTCATTACTGGGTATATACCCAAAGAATGTAAATCATTCTACTATAAAGACACATGCACATGTATGTTTATTGCAGCACTATTCACAATAGCAAAGACTTGGAACCAACCCAATGGCCCAGTAATGATAGACTGGATAAAGAAAATGTGGCACGTATACACCATGGAATACTGTGCAGCCATAGAAAAGGATGAATTTAGTCCTTTGCAGAGACATGGATGAAACTGGAAACCATCATTCTCAGCAAACTAACACAGGAACAGAAAACCAAACACTGCATGTTCTCACATATAAGTGCGAATTGAACAATGAGAACACATGTACACAGGGAGGGGAACATTATACACTGGGGCCTGTCATGCAGTGGGGGATTAGAGGGAGGATAGCATTAGGAGAAATACCTAATGTATTTCCGCACCATGGTGTTGCAGCAAACCACCATGGCACGTGTATACCTATGTAACAAATCTGCATGTTCTGCACATGTATCCCAGAACTTAAACTATAGTAATAATAAAAAAGAACAAGTAGGTGTTAACACAAGGTCAAATAAAAAGGACAAGTAGATGTTAACACAAGGTCAAATAAAGACAAGGCCTGTAAATTTCCCGTTGTGCAAGGCAATTAGGAGGTCAGGCACACAGCATAAGCTGTTTTCTCAGTGGTAGAGACACAAACCAAATTAAAACAGGTTGAGTAGTGAATGAAAACTGTGGGTGTAAAGGCAATGAATGAAGAATATGGGAGTCTGGCTCAAAGAAGACTCAGCATGAAAAGGAAACAGCTAGGTATTTTATATAATTATGGGGAGATATTTTATTTTTGTGGAGTTATTTGAAGACTGAAAGAGAAGTGAGCTTGTTCATATGCTGTGGAAAATGATAGTGGAAAAGAACAGAATAAATACTGGTGATGGGGTTATAGTGGATGAAATAGACTGACGAAACATTGAGATCCAAATCTCCAGCATAATGGGAAATCTAAGCCTTACGCAGGAGACAGGGCCTCTTGCGCTCTGTGCATTGGAAAGGTGGTGAATACAGATCAGGGTGAAGATAATTCTGGAGGTGGGGTGTGAGGGGAAGTTGAGGTCTTTACTCCTGATTACATAATTTTTCTGGGTAACACAGAGGAAAGCTGATGATGAAGTTTTTGAAAAGACTTTGAAAGGAATGAAAAAAAGAAATAACCAAGAAGTGTCAGTTTAAAGTTAGAGATCACTGATTTGTAGCTACCAGTCCTAGAATGATGATTTTCTCCAGTATCATTCAGTGGCACATGTGCAGGAAAATGGTAGGTTAATATAGGCTTGGAATCTGCCTTTGCAGGAGCGACAGAGGACAGGGGTGCAGGGGAGCTGAGACAATGAGCCCCAACTGAGCAGGGAAGGCAAAAAAGCAAAAGGGGACACTCCCTGATACCCAGGAGAAAGAAGAGGGAAATGGAAGTTTGTTAATATTTGGTTGGATAGAAAGCATTAAGGAGAATCACACTGTGAGCGAGCCTGAAGAAGGTGAGTTTGTTTTCAGAGAACAGAACACAGGACTCACAGATTTCTGCCATCAAGCAATTTCAAGTTGCCTGTCCTTGGGTTAAGGAAGGTGAGGTGGAAGGGAAGATCTCCAAATCTGAGGAGGTCAAGGGACTTTAAGATGAGCAGGTAGGTACACATGAATACCAGAATCACCCAGAATAATAATAATGCTTGAGTTGAAGAAAAAAATTCTAAGCCTGAGCCAAGTTGTTGCCAGCAGAGAGAAGAAAGTTATATATAATCCTGTGCCCTCTCAGGTTGGAGGGTCAGGCAGCCTCCCTGGGAGAGCAGGTATTGGAAGAGTCTTAGAGAAAAGGGATGTGATATTCTTAGGGGAGACTTTCCAATATGAAAAAGAGGAGCAGTGAACATTCTATTTAGGGGTTGAAAATATAGGGACTTTGTTTAACATGGAAAAGGAGTTTTAGAAAGCAAAGCAAAAAGCTTTGGTAGTATGAGTAAAACTCTTATGGTAAAAAAACAAAAAACAATTTAACTTTTATTTAGACTCTATTTCCCGGACTTGCCCACACACCCCTTGTTTGCACAGTGCCCATTAACCTCTTACAGAAGTGGTGCTGTGTGGATTACAGCTTGGGAAACATTGGCAAAGCACTCGAGGATGGCAGGGCTGTGAAGCATTCCACAATGGAATTGGTGCCAAGTCACGGTAAACTCAGCTCTTAAGGTATCTGGAAGGCACTGTGTGGACAAAGACAAGTCAACTTCTAGGCCACCCAATTTGTTGAGTTTTTAAGCTTCTGTCCATAGCCATTTGTCTCTTCAACTCAGCTACATTAAAGCCTGTGAAATCAGGGACAGGTATAATTTCTTTGCATCTCTATGACATTTGGCTTATGCTGGGGCATATTGATAAGTGCTAAATAAACATTTTGTTTTATTGATTTATACAATGAGCAAACAAAAATTACAGTACCATTTTTAGATCTTGCTTCTTTCTGTCTCTGTTGGAGATTTATTTTCTTTTTAGCATTAAAAAAATTTATTTTTTCTTTTAGAGACAGGGGCTCACTCTGTCACCCTGGTTGAAGTGCAGCAGCATGTCATGGTTCACTGCAGACTTGAATTCCGAGCCTCAAATGGTCCTCCTGCCTCAGCCTCCCAAAGTGCTGAGATTATAGGAGTGAGCCACCACACCTGGCCTAGGGTTTTAACGTTAAATATCCCAATGTGTTGGCTCATTGTGAATTTTCAATAAATTTTACTTACAGCTTTTAATATTTAATGCACCTCTGTACCTTCTCTCTTTGATATGATTTTGATAGAATGGTCTTGGACAAAGAGAGCTCAAAACAGAATATTTGATATTGCTGAATATTAAAATTAATTATGCAAGGTGAATACAATTAAGAAATAGTAGGGAATATTTGAAAAATATATACCTGATTTATTTATTTTAAAGTAGCCTGTTTTCCAAAGGAAAAATTTAAAATATTAAGTAAAAGTACAAAATCATACAAAACTTAACAGAAAATGTTACAACTATCAGGGAATTCCCCTTGAGAATTCTTTAATTTTCTTATATAATACAGTAAATGTGATTTTATATACAGAAGGTAGTAAGTAAATATAAATGTATAATAGATATAGGGATGTACAGAATTTAATATTATAAAAATTATGGTGTATATATAATTTACATTGTTTATAATTATACAAAAGATAAAGAGATATGTATATATGCTTGAATTGTAAAGTCAAAAAGCAAATTATATGAGATTCTGCTGCAGTATATAGAAGCAAAGATATAAAATGGCTGAGAATTATAACATTTACAAAAATTACAGCTTACATAACATTTGAACCCAGTATACTTATAAATTATGCTTGCATTTATTGTCCTCTCCTGCGGAAGGCTCAGTGTCTATGAGAAGCCTGGGCAGTCACATATGAGAAGTCTTTACTTCCACCACTGAGACATATCTTGACCCACAGACCTTGAAGCTTAGGTTGGTTGATTTGGAAGACAGTGTTTGATAAACCTCTGTGGAATTGGGACAACCCTTTTATGACTCCCAGACCCTGCTGTGTTGGCCTCTTGTTTTCCTTCCACTCAATTCCCTTTTGAGGTTTTATTGAAAGTATGTGCTTCTAAACCTTTCTACAGTCAGGTTAAGAGGAAGAGTAGATTCTACGTAGACCAATTCTGGCATATATGTAAGAGGAAATACAGAAGACTTTTTCTTAAAGGTTAGAAAAGCAAAAATCCTATATTAAAATGGCTTTAGTGAACTTATATTTCTACTTTGAACAAGCATATCTGAGTTTAGAGTCTAGAAAATCACAGCCATATCTCCCATGATGCCTAGTTGACATTTCACAATTTAATATTATGAGACGTTTCAATGACCATTTTTAATTATTTAGGCTTCAAGGAGACAACCTGGCAGAAAGGACAGAAGAGGCACTACCTGTACTCCATTCTCCAGATGAAAAAATCCCAGATTCCTTCGGTAAGTTTTAAATCCAACAGTATTTATTGCAGTTCTAGTGGCACTTAAAGATTAATGAAATAAAGAAAAAAACTAAACCAAACATCTTCCCTTGCATGAATTCTCTGTAGCTGCAGGTCACATACCTACTGCTCGCACACTCCTTGGGGCTGTTTGTGTCAGGATAAGAGCAAAGGAGAGCAGGAATTGAGAAGTGTGAATTCTAAGGAGTAATTCTTTATACCTGTTCTGTTTAAGGTCCAAACTGATCTACTCTGTGTTGGCTGCTCCCTAAATTATGTCACTAATTCAAAATTGTCTTTAGAAATCCACATTGTCAGCTGGATCTCTAGAAAATGGAACTGTCTCTCTGCCCCTTGTCTGTCACTTGCTATAACTGCTGCGCCCATTCTCACATCATTGATCCAGTCATTTTTCTTGGGCAGAAATGTCAATATCATACTTGACAATATGTATTCCCTCTCTCCCAGCCCTGTATTAAGTTAGTCTCCAACTATGTCAATGTCACTTCAGAATTTTTTCTTCTGAGTCAGCCTCGTTTTTATTTGCCCTGTTACTGCCTGTCTATGAGTTTTTCCTTCCTTCAAGTGTAACTGCCTTTTTTGCACTCTTTGCACTGTCTCACCCTTCTTTGGTTCATTATTTTTCTGAAAATAAAGCTGCTTATTCCATTTCCATTTTCTATAGTACAAAATGGAGATTCCTTAACTTAGCAAACAAACTTAATATCAGAGTAATTCAAAATGATTTTTGTATATGTAAATAAGTACAGGTAATGCAACTCCAATGCTATCTAAGGTACATCATGTCTTCATCAGTGTTCTGCTATAATGCTGATGCATTATATTAATTTTATATATATATATATGCACATATTATATGTCCTGCTGATGCATTATAGCAGGACACAGTTCATACATCCAACGTGGATGGTTAGAAGATAAAGTATAGGAAAGTATTTTTCTTATACCTGGATTGAGAAGGACATCTTCGACAAGACATAGACATCTCCAGCCATAAAAGAAATAATCGAAACATTCAACTCTTGAAAATTAAAAACTCCTGTTTATCAAAAGAAGCCCAAAGAAGCTCAGGATTAAGATGGTGGATAGGAGGCAGGACTAATTTGCAGCTCCCACTCAGACAGACAGAGTAGCGTGGGGAGACTTACATCATGAACTTTTGCTCCAAGAAGTACTGCAGAAACATATCAGGAAAGCTGAGAGAATCACAGACACTGTGAAGGAACTGGATCACCACTGCAGGCTCCCTAGATGCAAAAACCCATGAGATTGCTTTCTAGACAAGGAGACTCGTGGTCTGGGGCAAGTTCTCAGCCCTGGTCCCTTGCTGCCTGGAAATAAACTTGGTGCTTTTGTGGGGGCACAGTGTATGTGAGACCAGCCCATAGGGCTATGGGCTGCGATGGCGCTGGGTGAGGCCTGTGATGGCCAGCTTTACCCCACTTCCTTGGCAACCTGTATGAGTCAACAGAGGCACCCGTAATCCCCCTGAAAATATAACTCCACTGGCCTGGGAACCACACTCCCATCCCCTACAACAGAAACAGCAATCCCCACACAAAAAGAGGCTGAGCTCAGACACACCTATCCCCGCTCCCATCTGGTGGTCTTTCTTTACCTGCTGTGGTAGCCAAAGACAAAGCGTATAATTTCATGGGAGCTCTATGGTCTTCCCTACCATCTGAGAAACATGAATATTTAACCAGGTATTCTCAGGGCAAGTTTGCAACCTCCTCATAGGGTTGATGCACTTTTTTTTTTTTTTTTTTTTTTTGAAACAGAGTCTCACTTTGTCACCAGGTGCCAGGCTGGAGTGCAGTGGCGCAATTTTGGCTCACTGCAATCTCCGCCTCCTGGGTTCAAGCAATTCTCCTGCCTTAGCCTCCTGAGTAGCTGGGACTACAGGCATGTGCCACCATGCCCAGCTAATTTTTGTGTTTTTTAGTAGAGACGGGGTTTCACCATGTTAGTCAGGATGGTCTCGATCTCTTGCTTCATGATCCGCTTACCTCGGCCTCCCAAAATTTGATGCACTCTTGAAAGCACCATCTTTGGGCTGGAGGCCAGCCAACACAAAACTAGCACACTAAACAAAAACATAACCAAAGTCCATCACAGAGTCCACTTCACTCCCTTGCTACCTCCTCCAGAGCAGGTGCTGGTATCCACAGCTGCAAGACCTGAAGAGTGATCACATCACAGGATTCTTTGCAGACACTCCCCAGTACCAGCCCAGAGCCTGGTAGCTCCACTGGAAAGCTAGACCCAGAAGAACAAAAACAATCACTACAGTTCAGCTCTCAGGAAGCCCCATTCCTAGGTAAGCAGGGAGTACACAACATCAAAGGATCACACTAAGGGACAAAAGAATCTGAACAGCAGTTCTTGAATCCTACATTTTCCTTACAACATAGTCTGCACAAATTAGAAGGAACTGGAAAAACAATTCTGGTAATATGATAAAAATAAAACACCACCGTCATTCTTTACAGAACTGGAAAAGACAATTCTAAAATTCATATGGAACCAAAAAAGAGCCTGCATATCTAAAGGTATCCTAGGCAAAAAGCACAAATCTGGAGGCATCACATTGCCTGACTTCAAACTATACTATAAAGCCATAGTCACCAGAACAGCATGGTACTATTATAAAAATAGGCATATATAGAATACAGAACCCAGAAATAAACCCAAATACTTACAGCCAACTGATCTTCAGCAAAGCAAACAAAAACATAAAGGGGGGAAAGGACAAGAATGGATTTGGTGAAGAAGGAACACTATTCAATAAATGGTGCTGGGATAATTGAAAAGCCACATGTAGAAGAATTAAACTGGATTCTCATCTCTCACCTTATGCAAAAATCAACTCAAAATAGATCAAGAACTTAAATCTAAGACCTGAAACCATAAAAGTTCTACAAGATAACATCAGAAAAACCCTTCAGATATTGGCTTAAGTAAAGATTTCATGACCAAGAACCCAAAAGCAAGTGCAACAAAAATAAAAAGATAAATAGATGGGATTAATTGAACTAAAAAGCTTCTGCACAGCCAAAGAAATAATCAGCAGAGCAAGCAGAAAACCGAAAACGGAGTGGAAGAAAAATCTTCATAATCTATATTTCTGACAAAGGACTAATATTCAGGATCTATAATACAAAGAACTCAAATCAGCAAGAAAAAAGAAAATAATCCTATGAAAATGTGAGCTAGGGACATGAATAGACATTTCTCAAAAGAGGATATATGAGTGGCAAATAAGCATACAGAAAAATGCTCAGCATCACTAATTATCAGGAAAATGCAAATCAGAATCACACTGATACCACCTCACTCCTGCAAGAATGGCTATAATCAAAAAATCAAAAAATAATAGATTTTGGTGTGGTGAAGAAGGTGAAGAATGGATTTGGTGAAGAGGGAACACTTTTACACTATTAGTGTGAATGTAAACTAGTACAATCACTCTGGAAAACTATGGAGAGTCCTCAAAGAACTAAAAGAAGATCTACCGTCTGATCCAGAAATCCCATTTCTAGGTATCTACCCAGATGAAAAGATGTCATTATATGAAAAAGATATTTGCAAACAGATGTTTATAGCAGCACAATTTGCAATTGCAAAAATATGGAACCAGTCCAAATGCCCATCAATCAATGAGTAGATAAAGAAAATGTGGTATATGCATACCATGGAATACTACTCAACCCCCCAAAAAACCAAAATGATGGCATTTGCAGCAACCTGGACAGAATTGGAGACTATTATTCTCAGTGAAGTAACTCAGAAATGGAAAACCAAATATCATATGTTTTCTCTATATGTGTGAGCTAAACTATGAGGATGAAAAGGCCTAAGAATGATGTATTATTGGACTTTGGGGACTTGGGGTAAGGGTAGGGCTGGTGAGGGATAAAATACTACACGTTGGGCAGTGTACACTGCTCAGGTGATGGGTGCACCAAAATCTCAGAAATCACCGCTAAATAACTTATTCATGTAACCAAACACCACCTGTCCCCCAAAAACCTATTGAAAAAAATTAAAAATAAAAAAGATGCCTAAGGAAAAGCCACAAATAGGGAAACATATTTGCAGTGTGATTGCCACTGATCAAAGACTAATATTCAGAATATGAAGAACACCTACAATTTAATAAATAATCAAACCAGTAAAAAAAATAAGCAACAGATTTGAGTATACATTTTACAGAGAAGAAACACAAAAGGTCAACAAGCAGATGAAAAATACTTAAACTACCTTAGTGATCAGGGAAAAGCAAATTAAGACCATGGAGAGATACAGTCCTTTTTCTTTTACAACCTTTTGTTTGGCATTAAGAAAGCTGACAAAACTAAGTGCTGGTGAAGTCATAGATGAAAAGAAACTCATATACCACAGCTGTATGAGTTTTGGAAAAGTTTTCCACTATCTTAAAATCTTCAGCATTTATATAATCTAAAACCTAGAAATTCCATTTCTAGGTAAATGCCTTAGAGAAACAGGTTTCATGTAGCATGAAATATGTAGTATGTTCACGGACCGGGAAGTGGATAAATTGTGAATTTTTTTTACGCAGTAGCAATCTGAATGCCTTTCAACTACATACAGGGGATGGATAAAATTGGTGATGTACAAACAGGTCCCCTGTATGTAGTTGAAAGGCATTCAAGTTTCTACTGTGTAAATGTACAACAACAGTTTTCCTGAAAAAAGGAAGCCTTGATTTGTAGAGATTGATTTCCGTGGTGTGAATATTCCCACCATGGCTGATTTCAAGCGGCCAAACTGAAATGGCAGTTGGTTCTCCCAGTCTGGTATAAGGAAGTTGCAGCTTACTGTAAAATGAGTCTTAAAAGCCTAATGCTTCTTGAACAAAAGCAAGTCAAAGAATGTCATTTTTATAAAGCTCCAAAAAGAAATCTAAATAATATGTTCTTTAGGAAAACATAAGTGACAAAACTATATTTAAAGAAGGAAATGATAAACACAAAATATTAGTTATTTTCAGGGGTAAGGGGAGGCTGGGCGTTGGGATAAGGAAGGAGCCTGCAGATATATGGTTTTTGGAAATGCCCTAATTATTAAGTGGTAGTTTGGGGTGTTTATTTTGTCATTGCCATTTGTAATTTAAATATATCATACATACTAATAGATGTGATATATTTTATATTTATATAAATGTTTTACAGATGTTCTATTTTTATATGTCAAATATTATGTAATAAATATTTTTTAAAAACTGCTAGGGGAACATAAACCAATGCCAATGTAGCATAATATAAAGAAATGGCCATAGTTTATACATACTCAAATCTATTATAATGGTGATGAAATGGTATGTCCTTATAATAGACTTTTAACCCTGACAATGAACATTAAGTAATGTGTCATTAGCAACATGAAGGTCCCAGGCTGGCCATTCGTTGACACTTGTTTCTGGAGTCAGCCTGGTTTCTGCTCATAGATGTTCTTGCATGTGTACCTTGATTTATGCCATCCTTTCCTGACTAGCAATAAGGCCTCTTCCCTCCCTTGTCTGCCTATTTAGATCATCTGCTCTAAGATCATGTTAAGTCTCTCTGATAGTTTTCTCTCAGCTCCTAATAGTTTTTGAATTGCTTCTTGTGTGTTTGTTTCTCTTACTTCAATTACATGCTTCTTGAAGTTCTCTTACATTACCCATCATGCCCAATACAAAGCCAGACACAAGACAGATACAATTTAATTAGTTTCCATTAATTTTTAAAATTTTATCAAATTAACTCCAATTTACCAATCTGTGCCCATATATTCTTCAACAATCTCATTTACATAATTACTGAGTATTATAAGGACTCAAATTTCCTGGGAAATTAAATAATGTATCAATAATGTGTTGCAAATTATACTTTAAGCTCCCTTCTTGAAATGCCTATTCCTACATTCTTCACATTTAGTTATTAGTATACCTAATCTGCAAATTCCAGAATATGAGTTTCTGATTTAGTACATTCTTTTCTACTTAAGTTAGTCAAATGACTAGATCCAATAATTAAATATTATTGGCATTATCCAAAAGTGCTACTGTGAGTTTTATGTCAACTGTGCATCTACATTGAACTTGGCTAGACATACATAAATATTTCTATAAATAGGTATAACTTTGTGCATAAAAAAATCTATTGTGACATAAGCAGCAAAAGTAAAAATAATGGCTGAAAAAAAGTTGGATGAAACTAAGCACTACAATAAACTACAGATTTTTAGGTTCCCACCAACATGTCCAATCAACCACAGGACTGAATTTTAGTCCTGTGACAGATTATTAGATTTCTGGTAAAATTACTTTATCTTTCCATGCTTCAGTTTCTTCTTCTCTAAAATGAGGACATAAGATAAACAGTAATATTTGACAAATTTAGGGACTCATTTCCCACCCACCCATAGGTTATTTTAAATAGCTAAAAAAATAAATACTTATATTTGAAAATAATGTATAAAAGAAATTGCTCTGGAGTAGACAGAGCAAAACAGCTTACACATATTTACTCACCTGTTACTGTTAATAAGCAATGTACTTGGAACACATAAACAATAGCGTTTACTGCTCCAAGCATTAAACACCAAGGTTTTATTTTTATGATGTCTGTGGTCCCTCCTATCTTGTTAGATTGGTATTCTATTATTAGATTTGGAATATTTGGCAGTATCCATATGACTTCATAACTTTCAAAAATAGTAGTTATGTAAATTTTCAAATGTTCTGGCAGTACTTATAGTTATCCCCTCTGGATATGTTACCAATAACCAGGGAGAATTCAACAAAAACAGAAACAGAACAAAATGTAAACCATCCAAAGTTACCAATACTCTCTCTTTATAAATGCTCATCTTTGTTAAAAAATTAATACTTCCCTATAAATGTGTTCAAGTAAATTTCATGAAAGAAAATGTCATGGAAAATGTTCAGCTTCTTTTAAAAGCACCTGATACAGTGTTGGTATATAGTATTTGTTGAATAAATGAATACACAAATATACAAATACAATAAATGTATGAATGAAAGAATAAATACATAAATAAGCAAAATGACATCACTTAAAAACCATTAACTACTCATGGATAAGAGCTTGAAAACTCATTTATAATATTTCTAACTTAAAAAATTTAGCAAATCCGTGAGAGGGTAGATTTTCTTGTCCTATATATGAAAAGAATTTGCTTTGTAATGTAGAATAGAACATTTTAATGTTATGTATTTATTAAGTCAATAGACTACTCAAATAAGAACTTCAATACACAAATAAAACAGGAAGCATGCTGAGTGAATGCTAAAGTTATAGTAGCATTTGCTCACAGTTCTGCAGAATATAATTCAGTTTAGAAGGACTTGAATTATGCTTAATTTGTATCCTAATTTAACAAATTTATTGTCACCTTTACAATAGTGTTTTAGGAGCTGGAGGTTCAAATATTCTTTACAAGTGGATTAATACTTTTGCATTTGGTATAATTCTCATTATCTCTCCTGATTTTATCCACTAAAACTTGTTTATTTTTATTATCTATGTTCTGTTAGGAAAGGTAGCAAGTAAAATCTTTAAATTTGCCTACAACTCTAGAATGATGTGTTTCTCTCGAAGTCAGTTTTATGGTGGAAGGCATTCTGTGTTCTAAAACAAAATCCACATTTACATCTGCATAAACTATGTGCCCCAGGACTTAGAAACTTGTCTTCTTGAACATAAAATTCTGAGTTCTCAGAGATAGAGAGAGCTCTATGACTCCAAAGCTATGATTACAGATTTGTACGAAGCTTGCCATTGTCTCCTGGGTGTTCTGCGGCCATTAAGGGTTTGAAAGATTTTATGCTCTAATTCTTTTTAGAGTATACATTTTATGCAACAGAAAAAAATCTGTCTTCATATGTACATGAAGCTAAAGGAAAATCTTTAGGACTTTATATGACTCCCTCAAGTATTAATAAATATAAGAAATCAATTTCTAAATCCAGTGGTTTAAAATACCTTTCCCTTAACTGATTTTTTTTTATTTGAAAAGTAGGAGCTCAAACTCAATTAAGGGAAGTTGACAGTCTTCAGGATAGATTATTTCTAGTTGCTTCATTTACCTGTCCCTATGATAGAATTCTTTATAACCCATAGAACCTGTTGTTCGAAAGGTTGTTACGTTGTCAGAAGACATATGGAAAATATTGCATCATTTTGTTCACATACTTGAAAGCCACTACTCACCCACCCGTCAATATATTCAATTCAGGCTAAGTAATTGCAACTTCTTGCTTCATATACTGAAATGGAAAACCTACCACCATTTAATAATGTGCATCTTCCACTGAGCTTTTGTTCAGAATTTTCCATTCCATCTAAAAGGGAGAGCATAAAATAGTATTTAAATTGTGTAACCCCCCCAAAAAGGAGAAAATTGATAGATAAATAATTATAAAATCATAAAACAGAAGGAGGACACTAAATATAATTATGTTTCAACAGTTAGCTGAATTATACACAAAAAATGTTGCTTTATTTGTATAACTAAGAGAATGGTGGCTCTTGCACATTTCTGATATCATTGTGCCCTTCTAAATTAAAAATGCTTATCATTTTTCATAAGTTGTCTTTAAGCTAAGTAAATATTATTTCATGTTCTATTTTAACTCACAAACCCTATGAATTTTTCAACAACCAACTCTGTTACTTTATTCTTCTCACAACAGGTTTATATATCAGAGAATTAATAAGTAATATGTGACTATAATTTATTCTTTTTTAAAAAATTAAAATAGATTCCTTACCTGGGACTGAAGAAGCACTAATGGAGGAGGGTGAAGAATTTGAGAAGGCATCTGTAGTAATGGGACCTGTAAGTATATTCATTTACTTATTTTTTTAATTGCTAAAACATTTAAATTACTAATAGGAAAACCTAAATAAAATATAATAAAGTCAGCTTTCTTACTGGTTGTTAGGCTGTTCTAAGCTGTTTCAACAGTTGGGGAGGAAGATTTGAACTAGATGGGAAACGTGAAGTTCTGGTTTTATTAGCTACCTGCTTGTGCATGTGAACATGCTAAAGATTATCACCTGCCATCTTAAACTTCAATAAGTTTAACTGTACTTATCTTGATAGAAAAACAAATATTTTACATATCCTAAAAGTTTACATATGACTTAAGCATGCTATTTTTAGCTGTGAAGTCCTTGTGATATGATATTTTTGTTAAACTGTATGTCTTCAATATAATATATTGGGAGCAAACCATTAGGTTTAAGATTTTTTAATGTAATTTAAGGTTAAAAGAATAAATATACTGAAATTCTATATAAATTCCAAATAATAAATTTTATATAAACTCTAAATACAAAGTTCATAAAATATTTTGAGTTCTATAAAAATAACTAATGCAATCTTGAATTATCTTAAACATAATAGTTGGACTGGATTTGTATGCATCTGTATTCTCTGAGTTTGCTAGGGCTGTCATAACAAAGTAGCAAAGACTGGGTAGCATAAATAACAAAAAGTTAATTTCTCTAAGTTCTGGAGGTAGAAAAAGTGTTGCGATGCTGGTTTCTTCTGAGGTCTCTTTTTCACCTTGTAGATGAATGTCTTCTCCCGGTGGCTTCACTGCTTCTTTCCTTTGTACATGTCTGTGTCCTAATCACTTAATACCGGTGATACATCACCAATATCACCAGTGGTAGTGGATGAGAGCCTCCCTAATACTCCTTTAACTTAATTACCTCTTTAAAGACCTCATCTCCAAATACATGCTGAGGTACTTGGGCTAGGAATTCAACATAAGAAATTTTAGGAGGACACAGTTCATCCCATAACACTGTGATGAAATTAACAGGAATTAAAACATTATTCAGATCATAGGATTTAGTTAAAAGCACCAAGTTTTCCAATGAACTTCTTAATAAAATTAATTTTAAAAATTACTGATAAAATTAATGTATCTTTGCTCAGATGTTATTTTCCCTGATGCTACTTAAAATTTTACATTTTCCTTCTTTATTTTTCATATGGTACTTATGACTTCTACTATGTGATATAATTTACATATTTGTTTTACTGTCCATTTCTTTCCACTATAATATAAAGTCTACCAGGACAAGAATTTTTGCACAGTTTTTTCACTTCTACATCCATAGAAGAGTACCTACACGCTGTAGGCCCATAATATAATACACACACACACACACACACACACACACACACACATATATATACATATATATGTATGCTGAATGCATAATTTAGCAATAATTCCTCACCATAAGATAAAAAACTATTATATTTTCCTTTACAATAAAATGGTAATATCTTAGAAATTAAAAGAAGCATGGTAACCATCCAGTATAGCATTTCCCATCTCTTACCTTGGCATTTTCAACTATGGAATTTTCATTCCTCCATTCAACCCAGGGATATCTAACCTATAGATGAGGAAACAGAAACTCGGAAAAGCTATGGAAATAAACCAAGTTCCTAAAGTTAAGAGAACAGTGATATCAGGAGTTGGGAACTAGTCAATTTTCCTTCTACTGTACATCTTTAATATTTTTAGTACTTTTCTGTTTCTTCTACAAAGTTTATTCCTGTTATTGTCTTCCATTCCTCACAAACATTGGTCCTAGTTCTACTCCTGCAGTGATAGCTTAAATCTAGTCCTTTTTACAATTAACTGATGTTCAGATATTAGAAACTACCAGCATGTCCCAAATGAGACTTAAATCTTTAGGTCAAAACACAGTCCGTGCTTTTAACCAATTCTTACATTGGGTAGTTTCAAAAAATTTCAGTATCTTGATGCTTTTTCTGAACATATCCTTGTTTGCCAAATCCCCTGGAATATGTGAGTTATGCCACAACCAAATCTAGGGTTCCAAGTAATATTCTCACATAGAGTACATAGGTTGCAACAAATATGATTTGGGGATTATAACCTACTGTTGCATTAATTTTATTTTTTAAGAAATGTTCAGCCATTTATAAACTTTAGTATTTCTCCATAATCTCATGATGTTCTTTAGATTGTGATAATCTGTCATTCATCACTTTTTACAAAGCTTTATCAACTGTGAATTCCACAAGGTCCATATTTTTCCCTCATGCCTTACTTAAAATATACTATTAAATTCTTCTTCTAATCGTTTTCTCCAATCAAGATACATCCTGTCTATAGTATTTGGCTTCCTTAATAATACATAAAAATGCAAAGAAAAAAGAAATTAGCTCTATTTGACCAAACTTTTCATGAGTCATTTCAAATGGGCTTGTAGAGATCTTTGCTTTCTTTCCACAGTGCTCACATAGTGCTTTCCCAGTGCAAAAGTTTGTTATAGGTAAACTTGTATTTTGTTTACATTCATTAGATTTTGCATTGAAAATTCTCAATTCCAGTGAATATCGTATTACACATTTAAATCCTTTTGGAATTAAGTGGAATAAAAACAATACATGAATAAATGAATGAATGTCAGGACCCTGAAGGAGACAATTTCTAGATGGTAGCTGCTTTTATTATGAGAAAAGCATGGATTAAAATATAAGTTAATTTTGTTAAAATAATGATATTTTAGATGTAGGTTTTCTGAAGAATACTTTTGTAGTATTTCTTAGGGTAATGTTTTTAGTAAATCATGAAGAAAATTGGGACTTTATCTAAATATTAATGAAGAATTGGAACAAAGCAACTCTTTTTCTTTATTACGGTAAGAAATACGAAATACTTCAAAGAAAATTTTGAGTCATATCCTGTACAAATATAAATATGCCACAAATGTTGAAAACCATTTAAGGTAGTTTCAACACTGGCTGTCTCTATTTGCTAACTTTCCATGTTGAGTATTGTATATTAATAAGTGGGAAACAGACTCTTGGAAACTGCTTTTTACTAGTGGCTTACCCTGTGCTTGGAATATTTCTTGAATATTTTGTGAATATTTAAGTGATGTAGAGGCAACATTTACATTTGAATTTTTATCCTCTTCCATATAAGCAAGTCGTTCTTCTGGAATTTCCCTCTCCCTCTCCTCTGTATTCTGGACTGCCTCTTAGTGTATGTACAGCCTATGCAGGTTAAAACTGGATTTGTCAGGGAAAGCCATTTAGTAAACCAACAAAAAGCCAATCGTGAAAAGAAAACACCAAACAGCAGGTATTGATTATGACCTCTTATCTTCATAAATATATTATTTTAGATTAATGATTGATGAGCACTTAATATCAACAATTTTGAATTGCGTAATTTCTTCGGCTTTCCTAATTTTTTTTTTTTTTTTTTTTGAGACAGGGTCTAACTCTGTCACCCAGGCTGAGTTCAGTGGTGCCATCACAGCTCACCACAACCTTGACTTCCTGGGCTCTGTCATTCCTCTCATTTCAGCACCTCAGCCTCCTGAGTAGCTGTGGCTACAGGTGTGCACCACTGCATCAGGCAGTTTTTTCAGTTTTGTAGAAACAGGATCTAGCTATGATTCCCAGGCTGGTCTTGAACTCCTGGACACAGGCAATCCTCCTTCCTTGGCCATCCAAAGTGCTGGGATTACAGACATGATCTTCCTTAATCTTGAAAAATCAATTTTGCTTTAAAAGTATTAAATAAACATTTTGGTGTGAAGGAAAGATAAAGATAATTAAGAAAGGCCTTTGATAGTAAATATCTGACATTTTTTCTTTTTTCCTTGTAAATTTTTAAAGTTATTGTATTCATTAGTCAGTAATGACTAGCTCATTATAATCTGACTCTCGTAAGACTTTATGTAACTGGTCATCATTTCTTACTTAAAGTAGAAAAGAAAATTAAAAGAACTTCTGTAAAAAAAAGTTTCCTAAAATGAGCAGGGTTTGCTAAAAGTTGTGCTTTTGGTATATTCTTCTCTTGAGAAGTTTTATCAACTTGGAGAGATATATAAAATTGACTAGGGTGATAGTAGTAGTAATGCTATCGCATATTTGTACAGTACTTTTTGTTAATTAAGTGCTTCACATATTTAATACCAATGGTGTCTGAAAGTTGCCATTCCCATGGCTTGTCACTTTCTCCTGACCACCTTGCTGTGAAGTAGTATTACTTAGCTTTAGAGGAGCATACTGAGCTTCCAAAAGATCTTGTGATTTGTCTCAGGTCACATAGACAGGGAAGGACAAAAACTCATGGTTCCCAGTGCCCAAACTCTCTTTCATAGAACTTGTTGGGTTCCACACAAAGGGTACTTATTTGCAAATTTGTATTTAGGCACTGGGTCACTGTTAACACCTGCAATGAAAAAGGGATAAGTATTAGGCCATTATCAGTAGACAATATCTTTTTTATTTTATTTTATTTTTTGAGATGGAGTGTTGCCCTGTCACCCAAGCTGGAGTGCAGTGGTGCAATCTCAGCTAACTGCAACCTCCGCCTCCTGAGTTCAAGCAATTCTCATGCCTCTGCCTCCTGAGTAGCTGGGATTACAGGTGTGCACCACCATGCCCAGCTAATTTTTGTATTTTTAGTAGAGACAGGGTTTCGCCGTGTTGGTCAGGCTGGTCTCAGACTGCCAACCTCAAGTGATCTGTCCACCTTGGCCTTCCAAAGTGCTGGGATTACAGGCATGAGCCATGGCACCTGACCTGTGCTTCTTTTAAGTGTTTGCAGTCATGTTGAGGAGTCAGGCCACTAGACAGCTGTTTGCTACACAATTTGGCAAGTGTAATAATAGTGAAAACTCCAAAGTAATCAAACAACACACTGGAGGGATGCTGTAGTGAGTTGGAAGTATAGGTAGAGTTATTCACTGGATTAAGTAGGTGGTGAAAAGCAAGAGTTTGAGGGACTGGATCAGGTAGTTTTTTATGAGAGAAAGAGATCAGTA